ACCTTACTATATATATATATATATATATATATATATGGATTGCATACAATGAGATCATTTACTTTTAGTGCAAAGTGGTCACAAATACTTACAATCATAAGGTTTCCATAAAGTTGCAATCTTCAACAATCCAATTAAGGCGCACCTTCAAATTTGATCATAACATATAGTTTTGATGTAAAATATTTTTAGGATTATCTTAAAATCTATTTTTCATATTTAATTATAAAATTTTAAACTCCAAAAATGGTTAAAATCAAGTAGATCTATCTATAAACATATGAAAATTCTAAAAATGGATGGTCTAGATAATGTTTGGTAAGACACTATTTTTGGGACTCAATATCATTTTTTCTTTCATAATCATACCTCTCGATATCGAAATGAGGGTTTTTCAACATTCAAATGTCCAATGGAATTTTGAGGTGTATCTATAGTTCTACATTTTAAGGTTGCAACCTTATATTAACTGTTTCCATACTTATATATATATATATATATATATATAAAGGAAACATATGCAACAACATTTACGATATAAAGAGATCATAAATCATCATGACTGTTAAATTTGAAATCGAGTGGTTAATGATGCATTATTATTTGAGCACAAAGTTCAAAGTTCTCGAATGCTATGACACACTTTTATCTATTGGATTTCACGTCCAATGGCAAAAAATGATTGCAACTCTCTAGTACTAAAAGTAAGTGGTCTTATGTTATCATTTGATGAACCATGTTGAAAAATAAAAAAGAAATGGTTTTGAGTTAGTAGAGGCCTAGATCTTGAAATTCATGAAAATTGACTGTTTGGATGAAGAGAGGGTATGTGCAAATTTTGGGTGATACAAATGCTACAAACATGAATTTTTAGAAGTGTGGTTGCATTATGTTACTATACAACTATTGTAAGAAATCACTAACGCGTGATTGTGACATCCTTTTACAAAAAATAAACATCTTTTTTTATATATGGAAAAGTACACAATGAGAACTTGTATCGTTGGTACAAGGTAGTCACAATTAATCTTGACAATTGGATGTGAAATTGGGTGTCTAAATTTATTGCATTGACAAAACTCAAAGTTCAAAAAAAAATTCTCGAACTTTGCAACGCATCCAAGCTATCAAATTTCACATCGAATGGTTACAAGTAATTGTGACCTTCTTGTAGCAAAGGTAAATTATCGTATTGTACACCATCTTTTTATATATATAGGGGAGTGATTCAAGCAGCGGTTCTACAATAATATAATGAATTGAATTTTAAAACCATGTTAGGCTCATTTGTTTGAACCCAATGAAGAATCTGAAAAAATATATATTAAAAACACATGTTAAAAAATAATTTTTTAGCCCAATAAATATAAGCCGTCCATTTTAGTGAGACGCTTAGAACTAGGCCTTAGAAGGATTTTTTCTAGAAGTGTGGTTTCATTATATTACAATAATACCATGATATGATATCATTCCCCCAACAATTAATTTAGACCGTCCATTGGATGAATTTCAAGATGTAGGCTTTTATGAATTCAAAATCATTTTTTTCTTTTTTAATGTTGTTATTCTAATGCTAATAAAAACTTATAGAAAAATTGGAAAGAAAAAAGATAATTCTAAGGCATAGATTTAAGCATTTCATCAAAATGGACGCCCTATGCTTATTAAGCTAAAAACATACTTTATAGGTTACATTTTCAAATTTTTCTTTTTTTTATAATTGATCATTAGAATGGAAAGAATGTATATTTTAAAATTTAGATCAAACAAATGGTTTTAACATAATTTTTGAAAGTTGTTGAATCATATTACCATACAACCGTTGCATGAAATCACTGCCGTATATATCAAAGATATATATATAGAAAAGTCTTAAAAACACCTATAGGCGAAGTACTAGAGTGTTTCGCCCCCCTCACAGGCATGATATGTCTGTGATGGTTTTGTCATATGTCTGTGGTGGTCCCCTTATATTTTTTGTGTCAAATTTGCATGAAAAAGTCCCATCACGTACATGCTATATCCGTGACAGACCGCCATGGACATGTTATGTCTGTGATGGTCTTTAACCCACGCTGTTTAAAAAAATCAGACGGTGCCGAGCCTATGGGTGAAAATGTTATTATATATATATATATATATAATTTTTTTTTTTAATTTCTTACTTTTTTAATTTTATTTGTTTACACATTCATGATATACAGCTTAGAGATTATATATACCAAAAAAAAAATTAGGTCCAAAATTCATCTAAAATATAAAGGGAAAAGTTTATATAGAGTCGAGGCTCTCAACAATCAAATTTGATCCTACCTCAAGACTTTTACTAGAAGATGTTGTTTTGATGCCCAAATATCCTCAAATTGATCATCTTGACATCAAGATGCATGGACATGAGAAAAAAATGGATTTCAAGTTTTGAAAATAATGTATTTTGTAATATGTTTTTAGACCGTCAATTTTCAAGATTTTTAAGCTTTCATAAATATGTCGATCTA